GCATAGCACAGGGCTCCCCTATCTCCGTCGTCTTTTTTATCATTGCTTTCGATGAAATCAGTCAAATAATAAAAAAATATAATGCCGAACACTCTATTTACGCAGATGACGTATTAGTTTTCTCAAAGAGCAATAATTTTACAGCAACACAAACAATTTTTTCTAACATCCTTAACGAAATAAATAACTGGTCTAATAACTCAGGAGCAAACATTTCTTATGAAAAATGTCACCTATTCCATGTGTGTAGAAAACAAACTTGTCAAAACAATTACTTAACATATAGAAATCATAAAATAGAGAACGTTAACTGTTTAAAAATTCTCGGAGTTATCTTTGACAAAACATTGAATTTTAAGCAGCACTGTAAGCACTTAAGAAAAAAACTAAACACTAGGCTTAACATTGTAAAATATCTAGCATCTAAGCATAGCAAAGTACATCCAGACACTTTAATAAACGTAACAAAAACTTTAATTTTGTCGGTCATCGATTATGGACTCCCAATTTATGGACAGTGCGCTAAAAGTACGATAGCACTCCTGGCCGCACCCTATCACGCTGCTATTCGACGAAGCCTTCGAGCCTTTCCTACAACACCGATCAATAACCTAATGGCAGAGTCCGGACTTCCTTCAATCGAAGAACGCATTATGCAAAGTACATTCCGGCTGATACACAAATGTTTTATTACCAACAATATCATTCTTTATAAGGACATGAAAAACATAACTAAAAGAACGCGTAAAATGCGAAGACCATCAACAATTTACAACGTTTTCCAATGCACAAAAAAGATCAACATATCTCTTAATCCAATACTTTCCAAAACTGCAAAAAATCCAACATGGCTTTTACCTTCATCTGTCTTTATAAATCAACTTTTTGACTATCCGAAACAAAACACAAACCCTTTGATCTACCGAAAAACTTTTCTGGAAAGCCAAACATCGTGGAAAATCAATGGGTGGAAATTCTTATACACAGACGGATCCAAAAGCGACCTTTCGACTTCATTCGCAGTTGTTACGGAAGAAGGAAGAACCATCAGATCCGGACTTCTTTTCTCCTACTGTTCAATTTTTGCCGCCGAATGTATTGCCATTAACTTAGCCATAAGGCCCGCCACGCTTAGTAAAGGCAAATACATAATTTGTTCCGATAGCAAATCCTGTGTAAAAGCACTCCAAAATCCTCTGAGCAAGGAACTACTCATTACAGAGTCCAGAGATATGTTATCGAATCATCACTCCAAAATAAAAATCATGTGGGTACCTGGCCACTGCGGTATCACAGGCAATGAACTCGCGGACACTGCAGCCAAAAAAGCCTACCAAATGCCAAGCATCTACCACAATACCTACATGAAAGCAGACCTCTTCCGGACAACAGAAAATTATATTAAAGAAATTATGGTGAGAAACTGGCAAACGTATCAACACTCTTACAAAACCTATAATCAAAACCGGTGTAAGCCTATCCTCCCAACCTCAGCATCAACCGACCAGCTGCGAATTATTGCAAGATTGCGATTGGGGCACACGAAGATCACACACGAGCACCTGCTGAGAAAGGAGCCTGCTCCTTCATGCCTAACTTGTAATAGCCCTCTGTCCATTAAACACATCATCGATGACTGCTTAAAATTTAGATACATAAGAATAAATATTTTTCATAATAAAAAGCCTACTGATCTCTTAAAAAATTTAACTGCAAATAATGTAAACAAATTATATAAATTCATAGATCAATGTAACCTTTTACACCAGATTTAAGTTATTGTAGATACTATTTCTAAGGGTACTTTATAAACTTTTTTATAAAATCTATTAGGAATAAGTCAGGCCGATAGCCCAAGCTGCTAGTTGCCTTCTATGTAATGTAATTATTAATAATTATATTTCACTCAAATAAATAAATAAATAAATAAAGGTGCACAGTTGACGGTTGCTTCGGACGTGCAGCCTTGCCGATTCGTTTTTGCACAACTTAGCCTACCCATATACGTATGAGTACATACATACATATGCAGGTATACGAGTATACATATATACATATGTACTTATTTGTAAAGAATTGTTTGTTCAATGAACATTTACACAAACATTTCTACAAATACATTTCTGAGAATTGATAAGGTGCAAAAAAAAACAAAAAAAAGAAATGTTGATGCAAATTCATGTTTTTCGTGCTACTCTTCCCACACTCTTCTTCACACAACAAAGAGATAAAACTTGCGAATAAAGTGGAAGCGTGTTAAAATTAAACATTTCTGGTTTTTAATATGACGTACTTACATATCTACACAGTCAGGCTCCAGGAATATGCCTAATAAAAGCCAAATATGCAGAATAATTCTGCAAAACAGAATAAGTTTTCTTAATTAGTGCAGCCATATTCCGCCACCAATATTAAGTTTCATTAGGAAACTGGCATAACTAATAGATATAATGTTGGGAATAAACTGCAGAATATGTAGACAAAGACCTGAGCGCAACTGCGGATTATGTAAACCAACTCTGTAAAACATAAATAATATATAGGCATGGTATAAGATAACGAGGTTTTTACTGTGACTTTAGGAGCTTTTCTAAGAGAATTTGCCATTTCCTAGCTATGACTTGCCTAAAGAAGAAAATACAATTTCTTTTAAAATAGTAGTAATTTTTAAACTTCTTTCCTTCTAAAATAAGTATAGGGCTATCCATTTCATGGTTTTAAAAGTGAAGAGCTATATTTTTCGTCTGTACAAACTTAACTGTCAAACCAAACATGTTTTGTTTTATTTAAAAATCAGGCACTTATGAAAATGGAACGCTTAGCGATCACTGGCAATTGGGATAGTTATAGACCGGCTTCGGAATAGAAGTTTGCAAATATTCGCCAGCCGCTCATTTGAATGATGTAGTATATCACCAACTTTGTAATAAGAAAGGAATTTCATAAAAAAAAATTTAAAAACATTTTATTTACGATTATTTTCGAAATCGCAAAATCGAAAGCCCTTATAATAAATATAATACCTCTTCCCCGATACAAGACAGAAAGATAGATAGAGTCAGTTATATATACGTATTTATTTAGGTTTGGAAATAAGGGAGTTAGAAAGAAGGAATTTTTTCAATTGAAGCTTTTGCGCGCTTTCAAGTTTTTGTAACGTAGATTTTGTCTTAATATTTTCGAACCTGATTTTTCAGACGCTGATAATTTATTGCGATTCCACTGATAGATTGACTGGCCTTAAGTATTGAATTATAGTTGTGAAAATTTTAGTATACCGTATTACATGTAAAAGATGAAAAAAAAAATGTTGACATGGAGTTTGTAACAGACATTTTTCAGACAGAGAGAATTTGTAGAGATTTCATTGACAGATTGTTTGATCTCAGTAAAAGCAATGATCATTTAAATTCATAATTGAGGATAAATCAGCTTGAAGGAGATCGAAATCTTTATCAATTCTTTTTTAAATAAAAAAATACATCATCTTCACTGAAAATCTCCTTTAAAAATGTTTGCAACACAATAAAATAAAGTGAGACAGCCACAGTTTTCGCACAGCACAGGATTTTACTTGACTTCTCCAAAGAAGATGAAACGATATATTGTACTGCTACTTTTTAAGTAAGTTCTTGAAGTTATTTTTCCAGAAAATCTGCTGGCAGGAGATAATAAATTGATTACTCGAAGATAATTTTGTTGTTTTCAGAGTGAGTAGCAAAAGACAAAAGGAAATATAAAAGGAAAAGCTGGGCTTCAGGACATTAAAATACACCTTGAGTACGTAATTAAAAGCTTTGTGAAAGTTAAGAACAGGGATGAAACAGGCTTTTAGTATCACAAAATAAAATTGTATCGTATCAACGACGCGAATTTGAAAGAAAAATATTTTATAAGAACGTAAATTTGAGGGCTTATCATGAAAGAAGCTTTTGATTCTAAATAGACAAAAGTTGCAAACAGAGCAAAAAACAGTGTGGATCACTTTTGGTAAGGTGTGTCATAACTTTCTTTGGAACACAATAGCAGACAACTATTGACAAATCGTTTCAGTTTTCGGAATCCCAAGTAGCTTTCCCTGTTGCTTAGGGCTTAAATAAAAAATTATATTAAATATAATTACGGGCGATCGCCCCTCGGCAGGGAGTGTGAACTTCTTTGTGTATATTTCTAGCATGAAATAAAGGCTCTTTATAAAAAACCATCATCCGTTCGGAGGTGGCTTAGTTTAAGCTGTAAGTCCCTCTATTGGTTGAAAAATCCCAAAGTGCAAAACCACAAATTGAAGGAGGAGCTCGGTCGAACAAAAAAAATAAATTCTACTCTCATAAAACTCAAAGGATTGCAATTTATTTTTGAAATATAATGGAAATATGATTATTTTCAGGCAGCTTAATATTTTTTTGTATAAAAAAATTTTTTGAAATATTTTTAAAATGGCAAATTTTTTTCTTATTTTTTTTTTATCATGGTGTAAATATTTTTTTTTTGTTCCAAATAAATGTATGTAACTAAATATAAATATTTACTTAAAACATTTACGTTAAATATTAGTTATTTGTAATAATAATATAGTGTATCTCGAGGCAATTCATGGAATTTTTGTGTGTAATAACAGGTGAATTTATTTCTGCGAGTGGACAAATTTTACGCGTGAGTATGCACTTGAAGAAAAAAATTTATTTACGCAAACGCTGTAAGATTATGTAAAATACCTGCAAATATTTATTCAATTATCATACATTTGCAAAACTAACCAGCGTGGAATAAAAATTGTAATTGTGAATTACATTAAAATATATAAAAATAAACTTTATTGGAAAAATTTAATTAATAATCACTTATATATTTCGGTTTTTTTATGTGTTGATAAATTGGGTTTAGAAAATTTTGCTTTGCGAACATATGAAAAATTGTGAAGTAAGATATTCATTAGTAGTTAATAAGAGTATTTAAGACAGTAAAATATATTTTTCCGCCTTTTCTTTGTTCGAACTTACATAGGAAGCGTTTCGTTGTGCGGTGAATATGGTTCTGTTTGCGTTATCAAGCTTTTAATTGTGATCCTCTTCAGTTTCTCATCAGTAAGTAACTTGTTTCAAATTGTTTATGCAAACAGCTCAACATTCGTTATTGCAGATGCTTCTACTTCTAATATAAAATACATTCGCACAGAGTTTTAAATATTAATTATTTTATTTCAACGTATTATTACTTATTTTCGAATTAACACAAATTTATTTAATTTTTTTTTTTGTTGTATACACAAATAGGTATATTTATGCACACAAGTCTAAAAATATTTCCACTGCCTATTTTCAACGAATTGCCCGTTGCTGTTTAAAAAGCTCAGCTTTACACTTGTTAAATATTAACATACTAAAAAGCTCATTGTAAAATTTCCATTTTCCGTTTCGTTTATAAATATGTATGCAGTTAATTACACATTCATTTGCATGACAATTAAATTACTTTTTTTTATTGATCACACATTTTGTTTTAATTTAATATTATTTTTATATTGTACACAAAGCACAAACCGGTTATCGCTACAATTACACCAAACAACTATAACAAGCCACACACCGTTGATGCTTATAATCTTTAATATTTAATATCAATTTCTGACTATTTTTCCTATTTTCTCAATATCTCTACACAAAAACTCTACGTACATTGGCAAGCAAGCAAGAAAGCAAGCAAATTTACACGCTCACTAAAATTGCGTTTCTCCGTGCACGTATCTAGAACGTATAAGTGCTGCGTTTAAGCGTTTGCGATCAACTGAGTGGGGGCTCACTCGATCAAGCGATACGGAGTGCGAGTAGCCGAGTATCTGAAGCTGTGACTACGCTATCGCGCTTCTCCACAAACTCACAGATACACATGTGATTGCTAAGTGCTGTAAACACTGTGGAATCCTGCTTGCGATTCTCTCCAAAAGCATCGTTTTATAATCGCTTTTGTTTGATAATGAGATTAGGCGAAATGCCAAGTGGGTAAAAAAGAACATCAATAAAGAGTAGCAAAAAGAAGACGAAAACAAAAAATAATGAATTTAAATAAAATTTAAAATTGTCTAGAATATTGCTAGCGAGCACACCGGCTTAGCGTTGAGTACACGTAAAAAATATGTGTGTATGTCGTTGTATGTATTTAAATTGTTTTCAATATTTATACTAACAACCGCATGTACATACATGTATATTAAAACTAATATGCAAATTTTTGCTCATAAAATTTATAGATTTTGTTATAACTGCTTTAAAGGTATAAATGTACATATGTATGAAGGGATTAACAAAAGTTCGAACCAGACCAGAAAAAAAATAAAAAATATTTTTTGTATTTAATCGAAATAATCGGAATTGATTTCAATACATTTCTTAAGCTTATATATTCGTCACCAGTAGCGACTTTACTAAAGTTGGTTGGGAAAAATCCTCTTCTTGGGCCTCAATTAAAATTCTTGGAAACCATCGAGCAGATTTCTTTGTATATCCCAGATGATTACTTAAAATCCGCGATACAGCAATCATTTCTTGTATTAATCGTGGGTCTTCGTCAATTTGGAACTTCACCAGAACTACAGTGATGTCATCAGTGGAAGATATTGGTCGATCTCGTCACTGCTCGTCTTCCACTGCAAAATATCTGGCCTGGAATCTTCGGAACCACTTAGAAATAGCCTTTAAAGATGGTACAATCGTTCCATGTGCAATTCGAAATTCACTGAATATTTGTATTGGCTGTAAATTACGCCGAAACCTGAAGAGAATCCCAAGGCGAATTTCTGTTTGCGTTGGTGGTGGAATTTCGTCTGACTTCTCCTCAGCTATCTGACGTTTTGTCATCTTTGAAAGCTTGACTAATAAAGTAATTGCAAACGATTTGGTATTTTTAGATCTAATAAAAACAAATTGAAAGTCATTAACTGACCGAACATTTGGTAATCCCCTCATATGTTCATACTTTATACATTTGGTTTTCCTGAAAATACTACACTACGCCATTGCTTACGGTTTAAAAATGAGAAACTAATTAAGTTTGACTTTTTATCAGTTGAAATGAAGGCTTTATTAATTTTTTAAACCAACCTGAATACTTTCAAATGTTCAAAAGATTTTCAAATATTATATTAAAATTATTTCAAGTAGGAAAGTCGGAAATAAACTTACCAAATATGTTTTGCTAATAATAAAATTTGCGTCTCGGATTTACTAAGTGTGAACAAAAGTCTTACTTGCTGACACAGTGTGTCTAATCTGTGATCTTAAAATAAATAAAGACCGATTACCCAACATTCGGTTCCACCTGAACTACACCTTCATAACTTTGTTTTTTTTTTTTAATTAAAAATTCTGGAATATTTTCAGGTTGATAAGGTGAAAAACCAAGCTTATGCAGCTGGTGCAGCTCATTTCAGAACTCTCACAGTTATATTTAGAAAGTTTTTAAACCCCTTCTGCGTCTCTTTTGCAGCGCTTCTGCATCTATTATGTTTATTTAAATAATATGCATGTTTACTAACTTGTTTAAATAATTTCATAGAAAAGTACGTACGTCAAAACGTGTTTATTGAGATATAAAAAAATTGTTTAACCACTAACACACTTTTGGCTACAAAAAATATACACAAAACAAGTTTTGTTTGCTTAAGGCATTTTTTTTTTTGCGTTTTCACATTGGGTATAGCTAGCACACATGATTAGCGAGTAAATACATATTATACTACATATCGACTATTGTTGCTATTATTATTATTTTTTTTTCAATGTTGATTTTAATACAAAATTTTTCGTCAGAAATGCTGTCTTGTTAAAAATTTAGAATGCATACCCTTGTGATAATTATGCTGAGCTCTAGATACCCTGGTATCCAGCAATGCGAGCAGTTCGATACTCATTCGTTACTCAAGCCATCAAATGTTTGTTTGAAATTTTTAAAATTCAATTTATTTTCTTGAATTTTTTTTTAAATATTTCAAAGAGTTGTACACTTTGCATAAATAAATTCAGAATTATTGAAAAAAGTTCTGAGAAAAAATTCAAAATTTTGTTAAAAACGTTCGAGTTGCTTACGCTCTAAAATGTTCTAGCATTGAACAAGTGTGCGGGTACTCGTTACTCAAATGCTTAAGCTGCTAGAAATCTTGAACTCTGAGAAAGTAAGTAATGTGAGAGCCATCGTTAAATTAAAGAGGTGTGATCAGCAGCTACGTGTTTACTATGACTTTGACGTAATCCGCAGTCTTATTAAAAGCGATGCAAACTCAAATATAATTTGCTGAAAAAAAAACTAGGAAGATAGTACTGAAAGATCGGTCCCAGAATGGCTGCGATATACTAAGAACACATCCTTTGGTGGTTTGGGTTATGGGTTGATACGACAGTCATATATGATAAATTCTTTTATGTATATACATACATATATAGACTAGATTATGCCCCTGACTTTGTGCGACTTTTAATTCGTTTTTACGTCATATAAATGATATCATTTATTATGTTGAAATGTTTGAATATTTACGAAAAAATAGGAATTTTGTTATACCCAGATATTAAGGAAATCGAATGCTTAATATGATTTTTTTTCGAATAGGAGAGTTCTTTTGGATAAAAGTGTTCTATAAATAAATTATTAAAGGCCCAAAGCTACCTCTGTACTAAATTTTATGTAAGTCGAACGGTTTATAATGTAATTTGATTTTTCCAATAGATCGACCGTATGTCGTACACGGAACACACCCTCCTAGTTTCAGTTATTCAGGACAAAACCATTTACAATATATTATACGAGGTGTGTTCAAAAAGCATCGCGAATTTTAAATCTTCGAGGGTTACGTATAATCGAATTTCGATTTTTTTTGTTGCGTTATGTTGGTACTCTGTCTGTCACTTTTGGATGGTCTTCGATTTTTACCTATTCAAAAAACGGATCAAAGAACCTGTATCAAATTTTGTGTGAAAAACGAAATTAAGTGCGCGGATGCATTCCAAATGTTGACTGTGGCATACGGAGAAGCTATCTTGGATCGAAGCAACGTTTATCGGTGGTACAAAATGTTCTCAGAAGGCAGAGAAGATGTGAACGACGAAGAGTGTGCCGAACGCCCGAGCACTTCAACAACAGACGAAAAAATTAATTGCAGAGGCGTGGTGCATCATGAGTTCTTGCTACAGGGTAGAACGGTCAATAACTAATATTACCTGTAAGTTATGCGCAATTTGCGCGAAGCAATCCGCCAGAAACGCCCGGATTTGTGGAAGAACAAAAATTGGCTTTTGCACCACGATAACGCCCCTGCTCACACAGCGTTGCTTGTGCGCGACTTTTGGGCCAAAAACAACACACTAATTATGCCGCAGCCCCCGTATTCCCCAGATCTGGCCCCTGTGACTTTTTCTTGTTCCCCAAACTGAAAAGGCCCATGAAAGGACGACGTTATGCTACGATTGACGAGATAAGGACGGCATCGAAGGAGGAGCTGAACAAGATAAAAAAAATTATTTTTTGAAGTCCTTCGAAGATTGGAAAAACCGTTGGCACAAGTGTATAATATCTCATGGGGATTACTTTGAAGGGGGCAAAATAGATATTCATCGTATAAATATGTATAATTTTATACTTTATATTAATATAAAAATGTAATGGTAAATTACTGTCTAAATATCACTTTTTAATACGTTTAAAAAGAATACCGCAATGATACTGCGGAATAAATGAGGGCAGTCAATTGATCTCACCAACAGGTCTATTCTGTCCGGACTTGTCCGGATTGTAACACCATTTGATACTACAATGTCCAGTTATTCCTTATCGTCACCCTTCAAACTTTTCCCCATTTGTTGTGCAAAAGCAACAGTCGTTATTATCTATCGTTTGTACAGTTTGACAACTGATGTGAGGAGTTCACTTTTTTGATCGCCAATATCACATCCGAAATACTTATTTATTGCCATATAAGAGGGGATTAACAAAGGTTCGGCACTTGGGGCAGAAAAGAAAAAAATATTTTTGTATTTATTCGTGTCGCTGTTCCTTTTTTATCTTATCTACATAATCGCCAATGATTTCAATGCATTACTTAAGCCTATAGATCCAACGCCGAAAACAGTATTCCGAATCTTGATTTTTAGGCTTAAGAATTTCAGCATTAATCGCATTAATTATCTCCTTGTTGCTATGAAAAACCTTTCCTTTTAAATTTGTTTTTAGCTTTTGGAAATAACCAGAAATCACAAGTTGCTATACCCAGGGAATACGGCGCTGGACGTATTTCTCCTATTCGAAAGATCGCAGTTTGGGATGGCGCGATTTCCTGATGTAAAAAGTAGCGCCCCAAATTCTCTTTCTTCTTGTTTTCTAACAACATTTTGAAAACTATTGGTGAGCACTCTTCGGTATGTCATTCTCCAGTTATCAGCTGACTCTTTTGCTGCTGATTATGCTTGCTGCTGTTGGGCTTCATACCATAGGCTGGTGGTTAGGTTCTGGATTGTACTTGTAAAAAAACAAGATCAGTCACCAGTAACGACTGACTATTTTCGGATTTATTTACGAAAATATGAGCAAAATGCACTCGAGCCTCTTTTTGGGCCTCAATTACAATTTGTGGTACCCATCGAACAGATTTCTTCGTCTATCCCAGATGATTACTTAATATCCGCGATACAGCCATGGCATTCAAGCCCAATTCATTAGCAATGATTTCTTATGTCAATCGTGGGTCTTCGTGACTTAGAAATAGCCTTTAAAGATGCTACAATCGTTCCAGGGATAATTTGGCATTCGCTGAATATTTGTATTGGCTGCAAATTACGCTGATACCTGAAAAGAATTACATGACGAATTT